GACTCAGCTCAGGCACATAGAAGCAGCATTTGACCAGGAGGCTGCGGCAGTCTTGATGGCACGGCTTGGGGTGTTCCGAGCGGAGTCAGAGGAGGGACCCGATGTGCTCCGGTGGCTGGACCGACAACTCATCCGACTGGTAAATGGGGACAGTGGCATTAGGTTCGGTCTTGGTTTCTGCTCTACTTAATAATTATTATATAGTAAATCAGCAAGAATTTATTAGTTGCCTTTGTTATGCCACACACTGGACATTCCGTTAAAGACGTGTTAAATGTGCATTTTCCCCACAGAGATTTACATTATAGTTGGGAAGAAGCAACACACACAGAGCATTTGGAGAGTGATACAAATCTGTGTGGATTGAGTTGACTTAGATGAGTCATTTTGTGAATCCTCTGGTCTTGTATTTTTTCTTTAAATCTGGGAAGTGGTTTTGGAACTAGGGATCCAGGTCTAGTGAGTTTAGGGAGATCCCTTGTGTTGGTCTGGGTTTAATCAGATGAGAGGAAATGGGCCAGGTGCAATGGCTCATGGCTGTAGTTTCAGCACTTTGCGAGGCCAAGGTGGGTAGATCACCTGAGGTCAGGAGTTCAAGAGCAACCTGACCAACATAGAGAAACCCGTCTCTACTAAAAATACAAAAATTAGCCAGGCATGGTGGCACATGCCTATAATCCCAGCTGCTTGGGAGGCTGAGGCAGGAGAATCGCTTGAACCCAGGAGGCGGAGGTTGCTATGAGCCGAGGTTGTGCCATTGCATTCCAGCCTGGGCAACAAGAGCGATACTCCGTCTCAAAAAAAAAAAAAATCAGGTTAGAGGAGTCACACTGTAATGTAAATAGGGAAAGTCTTTTATAAAGAATTACTACTACAACAGGGGAGTAGAACAGTGAGGGACTGGCCAGAAGGAAGTATAGAGAAGTGGGTAGCCACTACTTCTGGGGCTGAGATAGAGCACCCAAGGAAGTGCTCCCTCTCCCCAGGGCTGATCCAGACCCAGTTGGGAGGGCACGACCATGGCTTGGTGGGTCTTTTGCAGAAAAGTTGCCATGGCGCTGTGCCAGGGGAACTTGCTAGAAATTCATGCTCTAGAATTTGAAGAAAAGCCACCCTTAGGGTACAGGGAAAGCTGTCTAGAGGAAAATGTCTCAGTGGAGGCATACAGGGATGCTGCTTTCGCTGCTGGCTGTGAAGTTTTCCAGGAGTTCAGCACTAGGGAAGTCATGGTGCAGCAGGGCCTGGCACCCAGGAAGCTGCTGAGTGAGCACTCAGGTGCCCGAAGCTGACGCTCACCTCCAGCACTCTCTACTGGCAAAGCTTCTTATTGTGCCAGCTGGCAAAGGAGAGGTAGTGAAAGAGCCCATGTCCATTTCACAGCAGACAAAAGGGGTGCATTTGGAGCCACAAGGCAATAAATCAGTAATTGGCACACAATAATCTTACCTTCCTGGAGATCACAGCATGTGTGTGTGATCAAAGGCACGGAAAGGCCCAGTAAGGAAATCTATTTCCTTTAGCTCAGCCTTCTGTTTGCCCTTGGCATCTCATGCAACCATTTTTTCAGTAAGTGTCAACATTTCAAACACAATTTGGAAATTGCTACTTTAGGATTTCAGAGGGAAGGTAGATAAGCAGAGGGTCCAGGTGGTTAACAAAGGCTTCCTGTGGAAATGATCCTTGAGTCAGGTTTTTATTAGAATAGATTAATTGGAGAGGAGAAGGCAAGGCTTGCTGAGTAGAGGCCTAGCAGGAATGAGCCCTCAGGAGGTAGCTGGGCCTTTTAGCTTATGCTGAGGCCTTTGGAGAAACCAGTGTCACAGGAGGCCAGGTTGTGTAGAGGGGAACAGAGTCAGGGAAGGTACTCCTTGATTGGGGAGCTCCTTAACTTTAGGGAGCAAGGGAGACTTAGGTGTGATTGTGAAACAGGCGTGTGACGTCGGCATGATGCCTGTGTTTACATCTAACGTCACCATGTGAGGCACACTGCAGGGAGAAAAGGCTATTGTTGTGAATGGAGGCTTTTTCAGGCCCAGTGGTACTGAGACCAGCGTAGTGGTAGTAGAGATGGAGGAAGCAGAAGGTTTGAAATCAGGATACACTGAAAGAATTGATAAAGCTTGATGAAATGATTCTTTATGAAGTCAGAAACCAAAAAGTCAGCATTGAGTAACATTTCACATGAGGGTAACTTACTGTAAGAGTGGTGGTGAGGTAGAAGATGGGAAAGGAGAGCAACTTTAGGATGGGAGAAGGTGAATCTCTTTTTCTAATGGAATAGTCTATCTTTTGGTAATTGAATGTGAATTTGCAAAAGCGTGTCTCAGGAAAGCTTTCCGTTATTTAGGTAGATGTCCTGACTGGGGCTCAGGCTAGAGGTCAGCACTGGACACTGGAGGGTGGATTTGGATGACACCCATCTGGCTGTAGTGTTCATTTGTACCCAAAGCAGTGAGGATGGGAGTAGGGGGCCAAGAATTAACTCCCAAGGAGTCCGTTAGGGGGAGAAGGAAAACAAAACCATTGAAGAAGGCAGAGAAGAAGAAGGCTGGTTGGAGAGATGGTGAGAAATAGGAAGGCGATTTAGTAGCAGCTGAAGGAGAAAGTGTCAAATGTTTAGGCAGTCACTTGGCCCACGCTGCTAGGAAGTTCAAGAAGATGAGAACTGTGGAAGGACACCAGATTTTGTGGGAAGAAAGTAATTGTTAGAAATGAGGTTTCTTTAGATGGTGAACAGCCTAATTCTTTAGTGGCCAGGGACGTGTGAGCAGAAATAAAGGCAGGAAGAGAAAACATTGTGATTCAGAAGTCTGTCATTGGGAGAAATAAATTTGAATTGCAGTGTGAGAGAACATCAAAGCGTAATTGTAATTGTTAGTTTTCATGGTGTTAGAGAGTTTTCGTATGGAATAGGTGCCTGGGAGAGCTCACCTAGCTTCTCTGGTCAGGGCGGTCCTCAGGCCAGCATTGCCTGGGAGCTGATTAAGATGCAGAATCTTCAGCTCCTCCCGAGAGCTTGCATTTTTACAAGACCCCCTGGTCATTTGCCTGCTCACTGATGCTTGAGAAGTGCAAGTCTAGGACTTACAGTAAGTGGCAGAGTTCAGACTGGAATGTAGCTTAGTCCAAGTGTTTTTCCAGGTAATTCTAACTTAGATTTTTTTTTTTCTCTCTCTTCGTATTTGTTTGTTTGTTTTTTGGTATTTTCCTTCTGTAGTGTCAGAAGTTTGGACAGTATAATAAAGAAGACCCCGCTTCTTTTAGGTTATCTGACTCCTTTTCTCTATATCCTCAGGTAAGTAATATATGTTTCTAAAATAACTATAGAACAATAAATTTTGATAGAAATTAACTTCAGTTTCAGGGTAAAGTGAGGGCTTTTTAATGTCTTGAGACTCAGTCCGTAGGTGACAGAGTTTGTTCAACCCAAGTCGAATGTGTGTCTGGGGAAGACAGCACCCTAAGCCCCACAAAAGATAAAGATGACGTGCAGAGGGGAGAAAACTCATGCATACATTTTCATGAACAGGCAAGATAGGATCATTGATATAAGGCCATAAAAAATATCTCTGATGTGTAAAAGTTCTGGGGAAACAGTCAGCTACCTCAGCAACAAACCAAGAAAATGAGCACACATGGAGGTGAATATAGCAAAAAAAACAAAACAAAACAAAACAAACCCACAGTTAATATGACAAATATTTAATAATATGTCTGTGGTTATTAGGTACATTATAACCAGGAATCAGCAACAAACAGCTCCTGAAAGTAACTGCACTCTTGATGAACCAAGCCTTTAGAAGCCACTGGACAAGAGAGGAGGGGGAGAAGTAGATGAATTTTCATCTCCATTGTAATTGAGGAAATAGAGCATAACTCATGAGTGTCTATAAGGATTACAGGAGCTGAGGCCAATTGAGTATTAAATATTTAGCACAGTGCCAGTCACCTGCTCAGCATTAGAAGTGACCTAGCTCCATAGCAGGTGCCTGGGACTCTGAGGTGCGTACATGCAAGAGGTTAAAGCTGTATGGTGTTGTGGGAAGAGCCCCAGATCAGCCAGAGTCAGGGCGAGGTTCCAGAGCTGGCCCTACCTCTGCTGACCCTAGAGGAGGTCCCAGACCCCTGGAGAGTTCGGTTTTCCACCTCTAGCAGTGGGGAGTTTGCCTGCAGGAGTGGTTTGCAGTTGTTTGTTTTTTTTAAAGCCATGGAATCCTTTCTTTGAGAGGAGCTGCCCTTAAACGCCAGCACATAAAGCAGATAGATTTGGTGCTTCTCTGGTTGTGCCCATGTACCACCCCCACACTGGGTCTCACCAGAGCCTTCACCCCTGGGCCCCTGAGGACTTGAGGACTCTACGAGCACAGCTTGAAAACCAGATGGAATGCTGTCTCAGATTCCTTCTGTCAAGGCATTCTAGGAGAGAGGCCAGCCAGAGCCCAGTCTCTAGAGCCATGTGGCCTGGTGTAGAGTCCAGCTGTAACACTCAGTAGTGGTGTGACCTTGGAGAAGTTACTTGCCCCTCTGTGCCTCCATTTTCTCACCTGTAAACTAGGGATGGTAAGAGAACCTGCCTCATGGGCTTATTGGAAGGATTAAGTAGTTCTTGTCAAGTGCTTTGTGCCTTGCATGTAGGATGTATTGAATGTCAGCCTTGATGATTATTTAGGAACCTATGATTCAATATTTGGAGTCTCAGGAAGCTTTATACTTCACAATGCAGCTCATTTTCATGTTCTGGCAACCTTTTTTTTTGAGACGGAGTTTCGCTCTTGTTACCCAGGCTGGAGTGCAATGGCGCGATCTCGGCTCACCGCAACCTCCGCCTCCTGGGTTCAGGCAGTTCTCCTGCCTCAGCCTCCTGAGCAGCTGGGATTACAGGCACGCGCCACCATGCCCAGCTAATTTTTTGTAGCTTTAGTAGAGACGGGGTTTCACCGTGTTGACCAGGATGGTCTCGATCTCTTGACCTCGTGATCCACCCGCCTCGGCCTCCCAAAGTGCTGGGATTACAGGCTTGAGCCACCGCGCCCGGCTCTGGCAACTTTTTAACTTGAGCTGAAAGAAAGAAAGGGTGAGAACCTATGGCTGCAGTGTCATCCCTTGTCCCTTTCTCCCCTACACCTGCATCCCAGCTTGTGTCCTGAGCTCTCATCTGCTGTTCCTGTGCCTGGAGTCCCCGTCCCCTGGCCCTGTGGCCTCCTCAGCCACATCTCTCAGGGTTTATCGTCAGCCCCCAGAGCTCTGGGAAGTCTCCTCCTGACCCTCCACCCCCACCTCCCCAGTGCTATCTCGTACTCTGGTTCGTAGCCCCAAGTGTGCCTTTCTCACCGGGCCTGACTTCTCTGAGAGCAGATATTCTGTCTTCGCTACCTGGCACAGTAAACTCTGGAAATAAACACAGACTCTGGAAATAAACGTTTCTTTGACTTTCCTCTTAAATATGGAAGCTTTGACATACCCAGAGGCACTTAAAAAAATTAATTTTTATTGCATCAAAAGACACATAACAAAGTTTACCATCTTAACCATTTTTAAACCTACAGTTGATCAGTGTTATGTGCATTCACATTATTGAGCACCTGATGTCTAGAATTTTTCACTTTTCAGAGTTGAAACTCTGTGCTCATTAAGCAACAACTCCCAGTTTTCCTCTTTCCCCAGCCCCTGGTACCACCTTAGGCTTTCTGTTCTGTGAACCCAGAGAGCCCTTTTCTGGGTTCTATTTCAGAGGCCTGAGGTAGATTACTCTGTGGGTGTTTAAGAAGGTTACAACTATATGCATTTCTCTTTTGTTCTTTGTGAATGCAGTTCATGTTCCATCTGAGAAGATCTCCGTTTCTTCAAGTGTTCAACAACAGTCCTGATGAGTCGTCATATTACAGACACCATTTTGCCCGGCAGGACCTGACTCAGTCCCTCATCATGATCCAGCCCATTCTCTACTCTTACTCATTTCATGGGCCACCAGAAGTAAGGCTTTCCCCAAATGCTTTCCTGAGGATTGGAATCACCTAATAGATACTCTTTTTTTAAGCAAATTTACTTAGAAAGCAGAACTGTTAAGAAGAAGGAAAACTTTGAGTTTTTATAATAATTTAACATTATTTCTTTTAAAAAATACCTTTAGGAAAATGTCAAAGAACATGTAAAGCTATTATTTGTGGAAGGCAGGAATAAATGTAAAAAACTCTAATAAATAACATGGATGCTTTTTTTCCCTTGTGCTCATATACTTACACCAGCAATAGCAAGTCTTGTATCTGAAGGAATTACTCCTAGATACATAATAGGCTTTGTGCAAAACAAAAAAAACATAGTGAAGAAACTATTATAATAGAGAATCAAATAACAATCCAAATGTTTAATATAGGAAAATAAATAAGTAACCTGAGAAATGGAGTTGATCCTCAATATTCATGGAGGATTGGTTCCAGGACCTCCCTCGGATACCAAAATTTTTAGATACTCAAGTTACTAATATAAAATTACATAATATTTGCATGTAACCTGGGCACATTCTCCCATATACTTTAAATCATCTCTAGATCAGTTATAATACCTAATTATAATGTAAGTGCTGTGTAAATAATTGTCATACTGTATGGTTTAGGGAATAATGACAGGAAAACAGATATGTGCATGTACAGCACAGACGCATATTTTTCTCAGATATTTTCAATCCAAGGTTGGTTGAATTTACAGATATGGAACCTACTGATATGGAGGGCCAACAGTATTCACAAAATGTATGTAACATAGTAAAATAGATAAGTCCTTATGTAAAAATGTTACATGAAAAAAAGTCAAAATAGAAACTTTGCTAAATATTGCCTGCAAAAATAAGAACTATATGGAAAAAAAACCAAAATATCAATACTTGTTGTACTTGAGTACACATTTTAAAATTTTCTTCAGTGAGTACAGGCTACTTTTGTTATTGAAATAATTACTAAATTAGCAGGCAGATGACCTGACGTCAGGAGTTTGAGACCAGCCTGCCCAACATGGTGAAACCCTGTCTCTACTAAAAATACAAACATTAGCTGGGTGTGGCACCAGTAATCCCGGCCATTCGGGAAACTGAGGCTGGAGAATCACTTGAACCCAGGAGGCGGAGGCTGCAGTGAGCTGAAATTGCACCAGGGCATTCCAGCCTGGGCAACAGGACAAGACTCCCTCTCAAAAAAAAATAATAATTACTGATATAAAAATTATATGTATATGTAAATATGACAATAAATTATATACGTATAATTATGTAGTAATATATAAAATATAAATTATATACACACACCCACACACCCATATATATATATATTTTTTTTTTCTTTTTTTTTTTTTTTTTTTTTTTGAGATGGGGTCTTACTCTGTCACCCAGGCTGGAGTGCAGTGGTGCAATTTCTGCTTACTGCAACCTCCACCTCCCAGGTTCAAGTGATCCTGTCACTTCAGCCTCCTGAATAGTGGGGACCACAGGCACGTGCCACCACAGCTGAGCTAATTTTTTGTGTTTTTGGTAGAGACCGGGTTTTGCCATGTTGCCCAGGCTGGTCTTTAACTCCTGGGCTTAAATGATCTGCCTACCTGGGCTTCCTAAAGTGCTAGGTTTACAGGTGTGAGCTACCACACCCAACCATAATATATATTTTGTAGTAAACTTTAAAAATGGGTACTAGGCCGGGCGCGGTGGCTCAAGCCTGTAATCCCAGCACTTTGGGAGGCCGAGGTGGGTGGATCACGAGGTCAAAAGATCGAGACCATCCTGGTCAACACGGTGAAACCCCGTCTCTACTAAAAATACAAAAATTAGCTGGGCATGGTGGTGCGTGCCTGTAATCCCAGCTACTCAGGAGGCTGAGGCGGGAGAATTGCCTGAACCCAGGAGGCGGAGGTTGCGGTGAGCTGAGATTGCGCCATTGCACTCCAGCCTGGGTAACAAGAGCGAAACTCCGTCTCAAAAAAAAAAAAAAAAAAAAAAAATGTGTACTAAATGCTGTCTTTCATATAGGTATCCATAGTCTGTCTTATCTACAGAGAGTATCTCTGATTTCTAAAATACATACAAAACTGAGAATATTCAGAATTATTTTTTGTTCCAAGATCAAAAGATATTATTAAGCTTGGTCAACATAGTGTGAGACCCTGTCTCTACAACAAATAATTAGTTGGGCATGGTGGCATACACCTGTAGCCTCAGCTACTCGAGAGACTGAGGTGGGAGGATCACTTGAGCCCAAGAGGTCAAAGCTGCAGTGAGCCAGAGTCATATCACTTTATTCCAGCTTGGGCAACAGAGCAACACCCTGACTGTTAAAAAAAAAGGTATCATGCGGCCAGGCGCGGTGGCTCACGCCTGTAATCCCAGCACTTTGGGAGGCCAAGATGGGTGGATCACGAGGTCAAGAGATCGAGACCATCCTGGTCAACACGGTGAAACCCCGTCTCTATTAAAAATACAAAAATTAGCTGGGCATGGTGGCACGTGCCTGTAGTCCCAGCTACTCGGGAGCCTGAGGCAGTAGAATTGCTTGAACCCAGGAGACAGAGGTTGCGGTGAACCGAGATCGCGCCATTGCACTCCAGCCTGGGTAACAAGAGCGAAACTCCGTCTCAAAAAAAAAAAAAGGTATCATTAATCTCCCTTCTCAATTGATGAGGAACTATTTGGAGCCGATTTTTCCTGCAAAGTAGAGACTGAGTCAGGAGCAGAAAGTGGAAATGTGTCAGGAAGAAAAGGGGTGAGCCACTTTGCTGGGCAGCCTTTGCTGTGGATACCAGGCATGGGGTCAGAGTCGGGTGGAAGTGGTTGCTGTGTGGGAAGCAGGGAAGACCAATGCCATCTTTCTCTCTCTTTTTCTTCAGCCAGTACTCCTGGACAGCAGCAGCATTCTTGCTGACAAAATTTTGCTGATGGATACTTTCTTCCAAATTGTCATTTATCTTGGTGAGGTAAGATTATATTATTGATTTATTTATTTTTGTTTTTAAATTGGAGAAAAGGCATACAAATTTATTCAGTATGTGCACAAGGAGAGTTACTGTCCTTAACTGTGGTTTTTGTTTTCTTCTTATTTATTAATTTAGGTTTTACTGACATTTGTTACAAGTTTGGGCTTAGAAAGCACAGTGGCTTTTATTCTAGTGAATAAAATCTTTTCTTAGGTCCCTGGAGTATTTGTATATTTATTAATTTCAATAGTATTTGCTGTAAGTATGGGCCAGTGCAGTGGCTCATGCCTATAATCCCAGCACTTTGGGAGGCTGAGGTGGGCATATCACCTGCGGTCAGGAGTTCAAAACCAGCTTGACCAACATGGCAAAACCCCGTCTCTACTAAAAATACAAAAATTAGCTAGGCGTGGTGGCATGCACCTGTAGTCCCAGCTACTCTGGAGGCTGAGGTGAGAGAATCACTTAAACTCGGGAGGTGAAGGTTGCAGTGAGCCAAGATCACGTCACTGCACTCCAGCATGGTCAACAGAGCGAAACGCCATCTCAATAATAATAATAATAATAATAACAACAACAATAATACTGCATGCTTTAAAAAAATTTCAGGTGATTCTTTTAAATCACCGTAATTTATTACCTTCAAAGTTAGGCAAGACGAGTTTATTCTCCTCAGTAAATATTTTATACATACTACTGTTCTATCAGAGTTAGCGTTTGGAGCTAAAGTTGTACTTTGATGAAATAACATGGCCCAGGGAACGTTACACTAGGTCTGCTGACCCCTAGGATAGCTGTGGATAGCTCTCAGTCCATTTCTTTCTCAGTGGGGTTCATGCCCTAAGAAAGGGAATAGCTCCTCTGAATTATTTGCGTGTTTATGGCAAAAAATCCTTCAATGGAGATAATGGTGATATTTATATTCAGTGATGCTTTTTCTTCTATTGTATGTTCTCTACCTTCATTTAATTGGTCATAAATTTGGTTTCCTAGTGACCAACTATTAGAAATGATTTCCGATGTCGTGAAAAGATATAAATTGTGTTTCAGGATTCCTTCAGTAACTTAGGAAGTATTATTTTCTAAGACTCCTAGGTATTTTATAACTTTAAACTTTTTTCAGCATATTAACACCCATTCTGCTAGCCACTTGCACACAGGTGCTAGGCCATCAGTAATAGTCCTGGACTGAGGGCCGGATGACCAGCTGCTCTTCCCACTGGGTCCTTTGGTAGTGATACAGCCGGCGCTCCGTATCCACAGGTTTCATCTCTGCAGATTCAACCAACCGCAGGTTAAAAATAATTTTGAAATAATAATAAAAA